TTAGGGACGGCTAGCGCAGATAGCCCTCGTGTAGCTTTGCGCGAAATTAAAAAACAAAACGATTAATTTGACATTCGATTCTTGATGTGCACATAGCACAGACAGCCCATAGTGCACTTTTGTACTGATAGACAAACAAGCTTCACAAAATAAAAAAAAAGAATTAACTGCAGAGAAAATGCATATTCATTCTTTGTAAGTTACATAAACTTGTTAATAATGCTAGTGTGCACATTTATAACTAGAATTTGAATGACAGAAAAGTAGAAATAATACATTTGAAACTATATTTATCATTTTATTACTTGCAGCATAATGATTTAACAATTTTTGGAAATTGAATTTTAATTTGGCTTAAAATAAACTTTTGATTTTTGTAGCCGGGAAAATCGGTAGGTTGAGATAGTACTATTGACAAAGACTACATTTACATACTTCGTGTTCGTGGGAGCTAATGATTTATCGCTTAGATATCTTAAACAATTGTCTGTCGATGACTGAAATCATGTGAAGATATTTAATCAAAAGAAAGACGAATCTTTATTTAATCTTAACCCTAATTATATATTTCTATGAAATATAATTTTCTAAATGATTATCTGGATATTCTTTATTCCTAATTATGAACAGTTGCCACTAGATGGCAGGGTAGTCACAATTCTAGTTTTTCTTGGATATGTTTTAGGCTTATAACAAATAAAAGTATTCATAGTAATTTACGTATGTTACAAGAAATCTGTTTTATGTTTCAAAAACTATGGGAATCACAAAAAATTGTCAATTTAACTTGAAAATAATGAATAATTTTGTATTCAAGAATTGCTAGCAATTGTCTAGAAAAGCACAAACAGTTGTACGTAGGTCTTTTCACTGCTAATGACTGTGAGTAGATATTAGTTTATCTTAGATTTCAATTGAATTAAAAATACATGGAAATTAAGACTCTTGTTTGTCGTACAAAGTGGAAACTCGACCAATAAAGTAACTTATAACATAGGCTTATTTTCAGATTAACCTGTACTGACGACCAAGTTGGAAATTAATACTTATTCATCCAAACCTAAAGATATAAAAAAATATATACTACGAGCGAATAAGCCACATTCTACAGCACAAATTCTAAACGTTATATTACACACGTATAAAACATGTTTAATATATATATTTTTCAATATGAAGTTGAGCTATTTAGATGATATATGATACTGGATAAAAAGATAGTTCGGTTGAATTTTTATAAGAGTTTATAGAATGTATAATTATTTTCGTTTGTGTGTTTTTTGTCCAAACATACAAAGGACTGTCTGTGCAAAGATGTTCCTAATTTTAAACTGAAAAAAAATTGAGGGAAGGCAGCTAGTTAAGAATACTTCACGCCTATTCTTGTCAATTCTCTCATGTGACGGCCCCAAAGTGTGGCAACGGGATGCGCCCGGCATGGCCAGGTGGATAAGGCGCTCGAATCACAATCTGAGGGTCGCGGGTTCGAATCCGCAT